ACTTTATCTAGGAGATCCTCTTCGGAACCGGTGAGTCCAGTGATTTCAGAATCGGGGATATATTCAAATGCTATAAAAATGAAATAGAAATTCAAGATTTTTAAATTAGTGACAACACAGGAATTTAATGTGTAAAATAATGCTAAATAATAGGGAAAGTAGAGAAACTTCATAACAAACAAAAGAGGCTAAGGCAAACATTCGAAAAAAGTATGATAAGAAAGAAACCAACTTAAGTTTTAGGTTAGAAAAAGGTTTAAATTATTGATATTTTATGCAGGTTTGATAAATATCGGTTTTTTACATTTGTAGGTTACCCTAAACCTGGGGCAATCTTTTTCCACAAGAAATTTCAGCACAAAAAGGAATAGTGAAATACCCACTGCGATTGTAGGCTTTTCATCAAAAACTTATTGGAAATACCCCGGCACACTAGAAAGGAACGGAAAGACAATATATACAAAGAACCCTTTGAAATAAAAATTGTCGATGCCTCTGCAAAACCGCCGATTGACCAGTTAGAAAGCCGCCTAAATTGCCGTTGTAGCAAAAATTAGATTTGGTAGCCCTGAACTCCAGGCATCGAGATTTATGCATAAAAATCGTCAAATCGCTATTAAAACAACAGATTTGTAAAATAATAGCTAAAGAACATACCGACATTCAAGTCAATACCCTCAAAGAGAGAGTTTTTTTTTCGCTCTCCTGTAAAATTTGAGTGTCGTAGGATTAGCGGTTTTGCAGGGGAACGGGTCTATTAAGGGGAACTTAACATCAAGGCGTAAGCCACAAATCGGTGGAGAAGCTCGGCCATACTATAACATACATATGAACATATGTGTAAGCGCCAGTCTATTATTATTGACATCAATAGGCCATTCTGATTTTGGGCTACAGTGGCTGCTTTTCAGTCAGAAGACTTTACTATTTGATACGCGTGAAAATTAGTGTTAACCTCAGATTTACAGCTTTAGGACCAGTAGATGTATAGAGCAAAGATGGATGAATTGACAACGAAACATTCACAGCTTTTAAGAGCGCAAAAAATTGCTCAAAATCTCTCAGACTGGCCAATTTAGAAGCCGAAGCTGTGCTTGCAGGTTATGGAAGGCTCAGTTTTCTCAACTTTTTACCGTTCTTCTTGTTTGGCGCTGTAACTGCCTAAGAGATTTTGGCCGAGTCCCATTAAGCATGAGAACCATTCACTTAATATCAATAAAAATAATATTAAAAAATGAAATGAAATTAAAAAAAAAATATTTTTTGTTTTAAAACAATAAAATAAAAAAAATACAATAAGTTTCTAAAAATTAATCTTAATAAGATAATTAATTACATTTTTGTTTTCAAACAATAAAATCTAAAAATTATAAGAAAATTAATTTAAAAAAAAATAAAATCATAAAAAAAATATTCACTGCCGAGGATTTGAATCTAGGATCTCTCGAATGGCAAGGCAGTGTTTTACTCAGTCGTCCATTATGACTGTTGGAGGGGCGTGAGCAAATGGATGAAATTTAAAATAATCTGCCTTATTCTGGGTTTCGCCTGAAAAAAAAAAACGCGCAAATTTGTCATCCGCCCATAGTAAAACCATGTAAACCAAAAGTGAAAAGTGAACGTGTTCGGAGAAAATAAAAGTCATGATAAGGCTGAGTATTTTTTTTTTTCAAACAATAAAATCTAAAAATTAAAATCAAATTGGTTTCTAAAAATGAAATTAAATTAATAATTTCGTTTTTAAATAAAATCTAAAAATTAAAAGAAAACTGAATCAAAAAAGGGGGAAAAATCAGTTAAAGGAAAAATATAAAGTAAAAATATAAAAAATTAATAAAAAATAATTTAAATAATAAAAGAAATTTAACTTAAAAAAATGCATAAAAAAGACATTTCACTGCCGAGGATTCGACCCGAGGATCTTTGAATAAACAAATTCTTTCAAACTATCTTGCCTGGTGTCTTTCAATTGCCTTACAAAAGGTTTGCAACTATCTAACCAGAATTGGACGGCAAGTCAGTTTGGCTAAAGATTGATGTAACCAAAAATTTGAGGTATTGTATTTACAACAAATAAAATTGACAATAAAAACTAAATAACTTTAAAGAAAGATATGTAACTGAGTATTGCTTAAAAGAAAGAATTAAAGGAAAGTGGTTATTGAGTAGTTCACTTCCGGGAAGTGCATGCTTTTAAAGACAGGCCATAAACAGGAAAATTAGGTTGAAAAAGTAATTCTACCACTAGCTCTACACGTGCAACAACACTTAAAAGCAGGGAGAATAATTTTTGTTCTTGTTTTAAATAATTTGCTTAAGTTTCACGGTGCGACAGTAAATCTTACATACAAAAATCAATACAGTGTTGTCGTAGACCATCTGTCCAGCCCCTCTAAAATGAAGGGAAATTTTTATTTTTTAACTGACGCAAACGCAAAAATATGACCTACCAAATCGGGTGGTATTACTGACTTTCGCCCTTAAATAAGTGAACTTTTTTTGTTTTATTGGAAAACGAAAGAAATATGAATAATCAATTCGTAGATGCTCCATGCCTTGGTCGTAGCACTGACTTCTTGTTTCAACCGAAAGTGGGTTAAACCAGACCCAGAAGTACATTATTTTATTAACCGAAAGTCCATTTCAGAAAAAAAGTTTCCGACAAAGGTTGTGTAATTTTGTCCGCAGAAACCAAATATGTGGTAAAAACATGTATGTCCTATTTAAAAAAATTGGCTTCCGGCCAGTTTAACCCATATCCGGACGAAACCGGAAGCCGGTAATACCAGCAAAAACACTTTCCCTCCATGGTAGAGGGGTTGGGCGGGTGGTCTGCGATTAAACTGTAGTTTTTATTACAGAAATGCCATCCATTACGATCCCTGCTTATAAGCGTTAAAACACAGCAAGAATCAAACATATAACTACATACATAGAGAACAACTTGTTTAAGAGAAAAGCTAGTATTTTCAAGTTAAAAAAAAAACAAATGCATAAAAGTGCTAGTATTTTTAGTGTTCACTGTGTAGAGTTGCAATATTTATGTTTAACTAATTATAATTTTTTGTTTGTAAAATTTTTTTGTTGTGCTGCTCTCTACCTTGTATATAGACAAATGTCTTTGTTAGCGCTTCGCCTATCTTATTGCTGGCCACACACTTGTATTCGCCATCGTTCTCGGGGAATACTTCTGTTATTTGCAACTGACATAAACCATCGGCATCCTGTGATATCAACGTCTCTTTGGTTTCAACCACTTTATCTTCATTGTGGTACCATTCCACCTTCGGTGTAGGCTTGCCAACCGCTTTGCATGTGAGTAATAATGCTTCGCCATCCATTACTATAATCGACTCTAATAATTCTTCAACGAATCGTGGCGATTCGAATTCTTCCACAGTTTCTTGTGGACTATCTTCCAGTAATTTGACGGTCGCTGTGGATGTAACCGAGCCACCTACATTCTCCGCACGACAAGTATAGTTACCGACGAATTTCGTTTGGAAGTTTTCTATCAACAGTGTAGACTTGTTCGCTTGTGAAACTATACGACATTCGTTCGAACTCTTGATCGGCTCAAGATTGATAAACCATTGGAATGAAGAGAGTGGTTCTGATTCTACCAGCACTTCTAATATGGCCACTTCATTCTCGCCAAAGTATTGCGGCTGTAGTGGTTGTATGAATCGTGGTGGTATAATCTGCTTGTCGGGTGCTTGATCGGTCACCATCACCGAACCGGACGATTTGGCTTCACCCACTTTATTCTTGGCGCAGACCTCATATTTGCCCGTGCGTTTGCGATTCATATTGACAATCTTGATTGTGGTGGTCGTTTCTGTGGTTTCAATGGTAATGTCTTCATTGATTTGTATCTCGCGGCCATTGCGCAGCCACGTAATTTCAGGACGTGGTGAACCTTCATACTTGGCCTCGTACAACAAAGTACCACCAGTGGGTATAACCTTTGCACTGAGCGGTGTCACCTTTGGTGGCTTTAATACCTCTAGTGGTGCCTCGTCGACGCGGCTAAGTATGTTGGCATTGCCAATGGCGCGTCCGAAATCGTTTTGTGCTTGCACGGAGTATGTAATGGCTTCATTGGGTGTGGGGTTGATGATTTCCAATGCGACATCGCCGGTCTCTTCGTTGTAGAAGGTTTGCACAGACTCGCTGGGTATGACTTCTTCAGTGCCGCGGTACCATTTCACATCTGGCATTGGCTTGCCAACTACTTGACATGTCACAGTGACTCTCAATAATTCGGGTTCCTTTTCTTCTGTGAACTCGATTTTGAGTGGATTTGTGAACTGTGGTGCAATGCCTTGTTCTTTTTCTAAACGTTTGAATATTTTAAGAGCAGGTAAATTGTATGTAATTTTTGTAAAAGTGATGTATGTACGTACATAAATATGTATTATTGGGAGACATTGAATACATTTGTACATAAAAAGTATGAACTAGAAAGGCTTACAAAAAAAAATAATTACAGTAAATATTCCAAAGCTGTTGTACACGCAAATGTAACAATATCCCATAAATGCTCAAAGTATCTCAAACGCGTAACATCTAACATTTGTATACTTATATTTTTCTATATACATACATTCACATAAAACTAGATTCGCGTACTCACCTAAGAATATGTTGGCTCGACTTGTTGCCACGCCGGCCTCGTTGCGCGCCTCGCAAGTGTACACGCCAACATCGCTTGGCGTAACCTTGGCGATCTTCAATTTGGCCACATCTTCCATTACCGTAATTTCATACTTTTCCGAAGCAAAGAGTAGCACGTCGTTGAAGTACCAGCTAATTTCTGGGAACGGTGTGCCCTCTATCTTGCACTCCAATTCGGTGGGCGCCTCCGGTGTACACATAACTGGTCGCAATTTCTCGGTAATGCGTGGTGGTTTGATTTCCTTCTTCTTCTTGCGCACCAGCTTACGTTCTAGCTGTTGTACTTCTGACGTTGTGGTCTCCTCCTTTTGAGGCACCATTTGGTCTTCAATCAATTCCTCATCGGGTAGCATATCAATACCCTCTTGTATACGCTTTTGTGTGATCAATTCGAGCTCGGGCAGCGGTTGGCTATCGTCCAGTATGATGCGCCGTGTTTCTTTCTTGACAATGTTCGACGTAACTTTCATGTCAATACCTCTGCGTACGTCATCTACGTCGAGCTCAATTAATTGCTCCGTAGTGATGAATTGAGGTCGATTATCTTCAGTCTTCTTAAGTTGAATGGTCTTTTGTGAGATTTCCTGTGAGGATTCTTGTGTGATAATTTCTTCGGCTTCAAGGTCAACAATTTCGGCTTCAAGCAGCTTTGGTTGCTCTTCGAATGATACATCCTTTAGACGTTTTGTGCGTTTCTTATGGGCCTTTTGTTTGGTGGTGGGCAAATCGTCGGTGGGGACGACTTCTTCTTCTGGCAGAACTTCCTCAGAAACGGCAACTTCCTTGACCTCGTCAATAGGAATTTCGTCGACTTGATCCTCTTCAGTTATGGGTTCATTGAATGGTTCAGCTATTTCTTCAGTTATTTCATCAACGGACGGCGTTGCTTTCTTCAACTTAGGTTTCTTCTTCTTTTCTTTCTTTAGCTTTTCTTTTTGTGGCTCCGCTTCGTCTTCCACCGGTATTGGTGTGATTTCAAGTTCCTCATCTTCTGGTTGTGGTCGTTCTTCAGGTGCCAATTTTGGTGCAGGAACTTCCTTGATTGGCTTTTCTGGCTCTTCTTTTGGTTTTTGTGGAATGGGCTTGAGTGTTACTTCCTCTGGTTGTTCCTCCGGACGTGGTTTCCTCTTGCCAGTCGGCCACTGTTTCTCTTCAATGGGTTCCTCAACTGGTTTCTTCTTTTCGCCGCGCTTCCAAGGCACTTGCGGTTGTGGCTCCTGCACGATCGGCTCCTTTTCGATATCGAAATGCTCAGCCTCTTCTAGTTGCACCGGCTCCGCATCTGGAATTTCCTGTAATTCTTCTGGTTTCGGCTTCTTAACTCTCTTTGTCTTCTTCTTTTCCTCAACAATGATTTCGTCAGCTTGTTTTTCGACATGTTGAAGCACAACTTCTTCTAGTTTTTGCTCCTCAGGCACTTGATCTGGCCGCTTCACAGGTTTCAATTTCACTTCCTCAACGCTTTGCTCTTCTGGAAGCTCCTTTTTAACTTTTCTGATCGGTTTGAGGGCAACTTCTTCGACCTTTTCTTCAACAGGTACTGCTTTTGGTTTTGGTTTGGGCCGTGGAACAGCTTCTGGCTTTTCAACCACTTCCTCTGTTGGCTGTTCTTCAATTTCTTCTGCTGGTATGGGCTCTACCTCCTCTTCTTCCTCTATTTCTTCGGCCGGTTGTTCGGTTTCCTCCACTTCTTCCTGTTCAGCTGTCTTCTTCTTGGGCTTCTTCTTCTTTACACGTTTCTTAGTGACTTCCTCACTGACTTCTTCAACGACCTTTTGAGGCACTTCTTCGTCGGAATACACCTCTATTTCCTTGGGTTGTTGCACGTCTTCTGAAATCGAGACTTTTTTGATTGGTTTGAGTGTAACTTCCTCCGGCTTTTCTTGCTCAGGCTTCGGTAACTGTTTGCGTGGTACTGGTTTCAGCGTAACCTTCTCGACCTGTTCAGGTTCTTCTGGCTTAATGCTCTTCCGTTTAATCGGAGCCTTTTCTTCTGGCACTGATTCTTCTGGTTTAAGTTCTTCCTCGATTTCCTCTCCTTGAACCTCTTCGGGTTGAACTTCTTCAGTATCTTCCTCAGTCTTTATCTTTTTAGGTTTCTTAACCTTCTTCACCTTTATTTTCTTTTCTTCAGTGGCTTCTTCTACTTTGATATCTTCGGTAGTTTCTTCAACTTCCTTGGGTTGTTGCACGTCTTCTGAAATGGAGACCTTTTTGACTGGTTTGAGTGTAACTTCCTCCGGCTTTTCTTGCTCAGGCTTCGGTAACTGTTTGCGTGGTACTGGTTTCAGCGTAACCTTCTCGACCTGTTCAGGTTCTTCTGGCTTAATGCTCTTCCGTTTAATCGGAGCCTTTTCTTCTGGCACTGGTTCTTCTGGCTTAAGTTCTTCTTCTATTTCCTCTCCTTGAACCTCTTCGGGTTGAACTTCTTCAGTATCTTCCTCAGTCTTTATCTTTTTAGGTTTCTTAACCTTCTTCACCTTTATTTTCTTTTCTTCAGTAGCTTCCTCTACTTTGATGTCTTCGGTGGTCTCTTCAACTTCTTCGTCTGGAACATCTATACTTAGAATTTCCTCATCTTCTTGTAACTTTGGTTTCCTCAGCTTCCTCTTTGTCTTTTTCTCCACAATTTCTCTCGTCTCTAGTTCTTGTTTGTGCTCTTCTATTGTTGGCTGTATTTCTTCCGGTATATCTTCACCGATTTCTTCTTCCTCAGCCTCAGGCATTACTTCTACCGTCTCGAGTTCTTCTGTATCAGTAGGTTTGTGTTTGATTTTCTTAACCTTTTTCTTCTCAACCACTTCATGTTCTTTTATTTCTTCCTTCTGCGTTTCGACAATTTCATCTTCCTCCTTCTTTGGAGTTTTCGGTTTCTTCTTGCCCCGTTCCCATAATACAGCTTTCTCTTCTGGTAGCTCCGGCTCTGGCTCCTCCAATACATCGACCACTTCTTCTTGAGTAGGTGCTGGCAATTCTTCTGGTTTCTCTTCAGTAACCTTGACAGGTTTCTTCTTCCTGCCACGTTGCCACATGACCGGCTGTGGTTGTTCTTCTATTTCAGCGACGTCTTCTGTTATTTCATCAACAGCTTCTTCGAATGCTTTTGTAGGCTGTGGTGGCTTCTCTTCTTCGACTTGCTTTTGCTGTGGCCGTTGCAGAGGTTTCAGTTGAACTTCTTCTGGCTTAGGCGCTTCTTTTGGTTTTTGCCTAGGAGTAGGTTTGAGTACCACTTGTTCCATCTTTTGTTCTGGTTCCTGTGGAATGATCTTGCGAACAGCCTTCTTTTTGGTTTCTTCAACAGCAATCACTTCTTCAGAAACCGACTCTTGCTTTATTTCTTCAACCTGGGTAACTTCTTGTGGCAGCGGTTTCACCCGTTTTCCACGCTCCCATACGGTGGGTTGTGGCTCTTCTGGTTGCTGTGGAAGTGGTTCCTCAATTAGTTCATCAACAGCTTCTTCATCAACTTTTGTGGGTTGCTCTTCCACCTTCTGCTCTGTAGGTTTGGCCGGTTTCTTTTTACCACGCTCCCATATAACTGGTTGCTCTTGTTTCTCTGCCTGTTGTACCTTCTGCTCTTCAGGAAGATCATCGACTGCTTCCTCATATGCTTGGCTTGGTTGCTGCTGTTCCACTTCTGCGGCACGTGTGGGTTGCGGCCGTTTGGTTGGCTTAAGCTGTACTTCTTCTGCTTTGGGCGTCTCTTTCGGTTTTTGTCTTGGTGTTGGCTTAAGCACCACCTGTTCCATTTTCTGTTCAGGCTCCTGTGGTATTACCTTGCGTGCGACTTTCTTAACATCTGCCACCACAGTTTGTTCTTCAGTGATTCGTTCTTCAACAGTTTGTTGTTTCTCTTCTACCTGTTGTGTTTCCTGAACTTGGGCTGTTGGTTTTTTCTTGCCACGATCCCACAATACGGGCTGAGGTTGTTCTGGCTGTTGAGTGGCAGCCTGCTCTGGCAGCTCATCTACAGCTTCCTCATAAGCTTTTGTTGGCTGTTCAGCAGTTACTTCATCTGCTTTAATAGGCTTTTTCTTTCCCCGTTCCCACATAATTGGCTGTGGTGCCTCAGGTTGTTGTGGTCTTTCCACTCCCTCGAGTGTGTCCACAGCTTCTTCAAAGCCGCGGGTTGGCTGTTCTTCGACAGTATGTGTAGCCTGTGTGCGCTTCAGTGTTTGAATTTGGATTTCTTCAGTCTTTTCTGGTAATTTGGGACGTGGTCGAGGTGTAGGCTTTAGTACAACTTGTTCTATCTTTTGTTCAGGCTCACGCGGTGCAATTGTTTTGCGTACGGTAGTTTTCTTGGTTTCTTCAACAAATTGTTGTTGCTCAATGATTTGTTGTTGATCAATAATTTGCTGTTCGGCCACCTCTGACATTTGCTGAGTACCGTTCATTTGCTGGTGCTGAGTAGTTACCTTCTTTCTACCACGTTCCCACATAACTGGTGTAGGCTGGTCTGTTGGTTGCACAGGCGCAGGTTGCTCCGGCAACACATCAACTGCTTCCTCGTATGTCTTAGGCTGCTCTGGATACTGTGCAGCGGGTTGTTGCTGTCGAGGCTGTGCTTGTTGAGGCAGCGGCTTTTTACTGCCACGATCCCACATTGTTGGTTGTGGTTGTGTGAATTGCTGTTCTTCAGTATCTTGCCGCTCTTGAATGGCTAGTCTGGTCGAATCTTCTACTTGCTGGAATTCTTGTGTTTGCCTCTGTTGGCGCCAATCCACCGTTTTTTCGTCCTGTGTACGCTTCATCATTTGAAGGTGCTCGTGCTCTTGAATACTCATCATTTTCGTGTCTTCAACGCTGGTGTACTTTTGCTGTTGCAAGCTTTGTGTGAACTGCTCTTGAGTTGTGGCGCCCGTCTTCAGTATGGAAGTATCCTCTCTCGATGTGAGTGGTTGTAGCTTTGGCCTCGTTTGTCCTTGGCGCCAGTTTACTGGCTGCTGCTGTTGTATGATGCGTTGAGCTTCAAGCCGCTCACGCTCAGCAACACTCAGCATGTTAATGTCTTCACTTATGATGTACTGTTGCTTATGCAGATCGGTGACGTCTTCACCATACTGCTGGATGTCTTCTTTGCGCAGCACCTTCTGTATGGATCCCTTTGAGCTCTCATCCACAGTCATATAGACTGTGTCTTGTGTTGCGCCGCTCACTTTCTGTGTAGTTGTGGTTTGCGCCTCTAAATGACGCAGCTCCACTTCTTCAATTTTGAACTTCTCGATTTGATTGTGCACACGCTGAACACTCTTCAGATGCTGACGCATTTCCTTCCATGGAATGGTGTCTTCCTTTTGATGTTTGGTTATTAGTTTTTCGATCTGCTCTGTCATCTCAGTAATTTCCAAACTTTCCATGCTACGCAGCCTCTGAATTTCTTTAGTCCGTTCGATTTGCTCTTGTTGCGCCTCTTGCGGCGTTTGTTTGTCTACGATTATCGGCTGATCGATTGGTCGTAGGTAAACTTCATCCAAATCAAATTTGTCCAATTGCTTTTGTACGCTTTCGACATGTTTCAATTTCTCACGCATCACCACCCATGGAATGGCTTCCTTTTCACTCTTACCAGCGATGATCTTGTCGAGTGTAGCACCAATGCTCATCAAACCCTGATTGCGCTGATCCTTGATGGATTTGAGCTCAACTTTAGCTGCCTCCAATTTTGGAATGACTTTCTTTTCAATTGGTGTTGGTTTCAGACTTATAGTTTCTTCAGTCCATGATTTGATTGGTTCTGGTTTGTAACCGGGAAAGAAGGGTTGCTTGTCTAGGGAACGGCCACGTCTAGGGCGAGATGATTTGCGCCAGGGTACAAGATTTGAATGTGGTTGTAAAGATTTACTGCGCGGTTTCTTGGTGCGTGCGCGTCCCTGATGGGGTGCCTGCCCGTTGATGGCCAAATATTGGCCATACTGTGGTGCGCCGGGCTGACGTTGTGGATGTGGTGACTCGGGCGAGCTGTCTTCTTTTCCTGATGATGAGGTTTCATCATCTCCGGAATCGATTGGTCGTAACTGATAGGCCGAAATGCGTCGTTCTGGAAATTATATAGACGATTATTGATTATGGATAAATTGAGGGGACTTATTTATCATCATTAAATATCTTAATGTGATCTAAGTGAAGAAAGTCTAAGCAGGTCTCTGTTCACCGTCTTAGGCCAAAAACATAGTGGAGCAGCGAGCAAAGAGCAGAGAGCCGCTCCCCTATGTTTTGACCCTTACCAGAATGGGTTTCAGCGCGTAATGGAAGCGTAAGCGTTGTTACATGAAATATCAAAGCACGGGGTTTTAGAAAAGAGCTTGTACTTACTTTACTTCTGATATGAGTAGAAAAATTCAACCATTTTGACTTTCATTCGTTTTTGAATATTTTTGTTTGGGATTTTTATAAGTACACCACATCAGCATGTTGGATTTAGAAATGAATGCGAATGGTGAAACAAAATTGTTTAGATGGGAAGTTGAAATAAGCATTTGAAATCCGTTTTACAGAGTTGCAATGGCCGAGTGAGAAGAACACTGGGGCAGCGGATTTCTTTCTTTTTTTTAATTAACATTTTTATCTTTTTTAATTTAGTATAATTTTTTTCTTTTTTAATTTAATTATAATCTTTAGATTTTATTGTTTTAAAAAAGAATATGTATATTTTTTAATTTTGGCACTTATTTTATGTATTTTTTCTTTTTCAATCAAGTTTTTTTCTTTCTTAGTTAATTTATTTTTTAATTTTTAGTTGTTATTCTTGAAACAAAGAAAATTTTTTAAAGCTATAATTTTATTTTGTTAGTTTTTTGAATAAATTTTATATTTTTTTTATATTTTAATTGTAAGATTTTGTTTTAAAGTTAAATTTTTTTGTTTTTTATTTTTTTTTTTTTAAGTTTCAAGTACTACTATTTTCTTGTTGTTTGCTTTATTTTTTTATTTTTCTAATTTCAGTTTTAGATATAATTGTTATAAAAAGAAAAATATGTGTGCATATATATATATTTTTTTTATTTGTTTTATTATTTTTTCTTTTTTAAATTTAATTTTCTTTTATTTATTATTTTTTATTGTTTGAAAAAGAAAAATGTTTATATATTTTAAATTTTATTATTAAAAAACTTATTGCTAAAAGGCGAACAGCATTACGCTAAGACCTCTTCGTTAGCAGATCTTTCCATTAGTCTTGCAAAGAACAGTAAAGAGAGTTCACGATAGTTGCCAGAATTGAGAACTGTGTTACGAAAGACTTTTGTCTTTCGAAAGACTGTTGTGAGTTGAAAGAAAGTTGCCAGAATAGTCCTTTTAGACATCATTGTGTTCTTACGTGACATAAAAAGGGTACCAAAGATATTCACAGCCTTACGAAATAAATTGCTTTTTCTAGGAAGATCCTTTCTAATAAAAGTCAGAGGGCTAATTGTTATACGAAGATCAAAGCTTAACTTTTTATTTAATACTGTAATAGAGTTTTAACCCTCTAACTTCCGTTTTTAATGAACTTTTATGAAACTACTTTAAAAATAGTGTTAAGAGGTGGAGCAAAATTCTTTCAAAGGGAAGGCCTTACTGAAAGTATTCGTTTAGAAGCACCCCTCATTTTTCCGACTGGGTAGGTATGAATTTAAATACATATGTACATACAAATAATAAAATATACAGATAAATATTAATTACTCGAATATAAACAATCTATAAAAATTCTGCATACACACATGCACTTAAATGTGTGTACATACATACTTTATATATGTATGTCCATATAGAGGTCAGTGTACGTTTATAAATTTGTGAAGGCCATTAACCGCCCTCAATATCTCGCCATTGAACTAGTTGGAGGTGACAAATAAAATAATAAAAACTTTTACCTACGCACAAAATTTAGAAAATTAATTTATAGGATTAGCTGCAAAAATTTATTTTAGTTTATTTTAAAATTATTAGCCTTTTTGACAACATTTATCAAATTTATTGCTGAATAGGTTTTAGAGCGATTTTAATGGATATTAGAGAGTTTTTTTCCAAAAATGAGTCAGCAATTAATGTTTTAAAATAATAGTTTGAAATTCTGACTAATTTAGTTATGTTGTCGTTTAAAACCACATAAAAAAACACTTACACAAAAACAGATGCTTACAATAAAAAAGAAACTCACAAAACAAGAAGAAAAAAGGCCGGTTCAGTGTGAACGTGTGCATGTAGTTTGGTGATTTTTTTAAACATTTAAAATTTTTACTTTTGTTATTAACTGACAAATTTAAAAATTTCGTTGCACAATTTTTTTTCGTTTTAGGACCGTATAATTGTTTTCAACTATTTTTTATCATGTAATATTCATTAACACGAACAAGAGAATGTTTTTTTTTTATCGATAAAAAAAGTTCTAACATCAAAAAAAAAGGTTTTTTTTTTTTTAATTTAATTTTTATATTATTTTATTTTTGGCTTTTTTAATTTAATTTAATTTTAATTTTCAGATTTGGGGTTAAAAATAAAAATATTTGTTTTAAATTTTAATTAAGTTTTGAGTACTATTTTCTTTGTTTTTGATTTATTTTTTTATCTTATTCAAATTTTAGATTTTATTATTTTAAATAGATAAAAAAAATATTTTTATTTATTTTTGCTTTATTTTCATTTTATTTTTTTGTACCTTTTAGTTTAATTTTCTTTTACTTATTAGCTTTTATTGTTTTAAAAAGAAAAATATACGAAAAAATAAGAATTCTTTAATTTCATTTAAATTTTAAAAATAGTTTTATTTATTTTTGCTTTATTCTCATAATTTTTTTCTTTTTTAAAATTTTTTTCTTTTATTTATTAGGTTTTATTGTTCCAAAAAAAAAAATATATATTTTTAATTCAATTTAATTTATAAAATACTCACTGCTAAAAGGCGAACAGTCTAACGGTTAGCACATCTTTCAGTTAGTCTTTCAAAAGATACCCTGCGGGGAGTGACGTTTGCTTATACCTAACTTTAGTCTGTGTACGAGGAGAAAGCTAACTACTTTTGTGGGACGATGGCCGCAAAAGAGTCAGTCCTCTGCATTACATGTCAACTAACATGTAACTAACAATTTTTGCACATAAAATACCAATAAAAAATACACAAAATTTGAATTTAAATTTTTTATTTTTTTTTTAATTTTACTTTTAATTTTTTTTTGTTTATATTTAACATTACATATTTATTTACATATTCTATGATAGTATAAAATTTCGATCTTCATTTGATTTGTCCAGAATTCGAAAAAGTATTTGTGAAGTGCACAAAAAAAAGTGTATTGAAAGTAATTTTTGTATAAGGATATTTTAAAGAAAACAAGCTCCCGATTACGTCTGCATGACTACTCCATGACTAGTTATAAGTGAGGTATAAATATTTAGAAGTCTCGCAAAAAAGCTACTTACAAGTTGGTTATTTTTAACAATTGATAACACTGATGCACAAAAATTACCTAAATAAAAGTAAAATGAAATTGAAACACTACAAGTAACCTAAAACTAATCCACATTATTAAAATAATTCAGTCACCCTCAGTTTTTTTGCAACAGCATTTAAGTAAAATTTAATGCAATACGCTTGCAAACTATACCTAATGAAGAAAAATCAATAATCTTTTAATCCAATATATATTTAGCATCAGGTATATCTCTTTTTAGTGTCCAACAGTAGTTAGCTAACATATTTGGACTCCATTTGCCCTGGTACCATTTTTCTATGTTAGATATATCCTGATGGAACCGCTCGCCGTGTTCGTCGCTAACAACACCCAAATTTTCACGAAAAAATTTAAATGTGTGTATATAAAAATTTATCTTGAGCGACATATTGCATCCCATATTCTTGTAGGCTGTTAAAAGGTTGCTGACCAACTCTTCATAGTTTTCGGTTTTGTAGTTTCCACGAGAATTACGAACAACTTAATTTTGTTTAACAAAACCACTGTTTATCAGTGTAATTTTTTACTGCAGGGTAGTAAAGAGCTTTCACGATCGTTGTGAGAATTGACAATTATTTTACAAAAGACTGATGACTTACGAAAGACGGATGAGTTGAAAGACAGTTGCAAAAACTGCTCTGTAAAGTTGGCCAAAAAGCATTAATCTCTAGCTAAGGCAGTTTTTTTTTTATATTCCGGTAGAACTATTAACAAAAAAATTTTATTGCCAAATGTGCATAAGGCTCCTAGATTTTTGTTTGAAATTGCCTTGCAAAAATATCTTAAGAAGACTCAGGGGTGTACGGCGAACTGTTTTTGTTTGCTTGTAAGTTGGTACGGCCTAATGTACAAACAAAGTATACAACTAATAATTAAAATTAGTTTATAAATGTTTATTAATATCGAATTGATAAATACAGTATACAATGTGAAGTCACAGGCATGTGCGAATATGTACATATGTATGTGTCTATGTATGTATGTATACTTTGTATATATAGTTACTTATAGTCATAAGCACATAAACATGTATGTATGTACAAACATATTGCACGTATAATATTCACGGGAATATATGTACAGGGTATCTTAAATATATTAAAAATAGTAACGTGACTAGTTGATATTGTTTTAATAAAAAAAAGAACATCACAATATACAAACAATTCGTTTCGCATGCTTGGCCCAGGTGAGCCATTAGTATGTATACTAAAATAAACTCTGAGACATACATTATTTTCTATATTGTA